TTTTTGAGAAGGAGTCTCGTTCTGTCATCCAGGCTGGAGTGCACTGGCGCCATCTTGGCTCACTGCAACCTCCGCCTCCCGGATTCAAGTGATTCTCCTGTCTCAGCCTCCTGTGTAGCTGAGATTACAGGCGCCTGCCACCACGCCTACTAATTTTTGTATTTTTAGTACAGACGGGGTTTCATCATGTTGGTCAGACTGGTCTTGAACTCCTGACCTCGTGATCTGCCCACCTCAGCCTCCCAAAGTGTTGGGATTATAGGCATGAGTCACTGCGCCTGGTCTTGTCTGTTGTCTAATTTCTATCTACACCATAGCCAAATTCCTCTTAGCATTCTCAAAATTCCCTTTAGACCCTCGATCTGGATTTAGGTAAAATTCACAGTTGTAGGAGAACCACTGCCCAATCTCTGTTGGAAGCTTTTTTCTTTTTTTTTGAGACGGAGTATCACTCTTGTCACCTAGGCTGGATTGCAATGGCGAGATCTCGGCTCACTGCAACCTCCGCCTCCTGGGTTCAAGCGATTCTCCTGCCTCAGCCTCCCAAGTAGCTGGGATTACAGGTGCCCACCACCAGACCTGGCTAATTTTCGCATTTTTAGTAGAGATGGGGTTTCACCATGTTGGCCAGGCTGGTCTTAAACTCCTGACCTCAGATGATCCACCTGTGTTGGCCTCCCAAAGGGCTGGGATTACAGCATCAGCCACCACACCCAGTTGGAAGCTGTTTAGTATCTGTGAGACCTTCTGTACCACTTTTCCCTGCCACTACCTGATTTCTATATACCATTCCATCAGTCCATTTTCTATCTGCTCCATTATCTAATTTCTTCCTGTTCTGTAGTATGCTTTCTGTCTGTGCCACTGCCTAATTTCAACCTGCTCCACAGCCTGATTTTTGCCCACTCTGCTGCCCACAGCTGTCTGGGCCCTTCCACCTGCCCTGATGGCCACTGGAGCCCCACCTGGGACACGAGGAGCTGCAGGTCATGCTCAAAGGCTCTCAGGGTCCGCTGCATGGAACTGGCGCTGGGTCTCGGCTCAGGCGGGGTGGTCAGGCGGGGCAGCCGCCTCCGCTTCTCCTCAATCTGTCCCTGAAGCTCTCGGGCGTCACTGAAGAACTTATGAAGCTCCCGAGAGGCGGCCAGCAGCTGGGCCCGTGTGCCCATGAGCTCCAGCAGCTCAGCCCAGGCCTCGTTCAGCCCATCCTTCCACTCGGCCATAGTGGCTGCTGCTGTATGGCCACACTCGATCAGCTCATCCACCATCTGGTTCACAGCTGCCAGCCGCTCCCGCCCTGCCGTACCTGTCTCGCTGGCGAACTCTGAGAATTTCTCCTGCAGCACCTGCCATCAGGAAGTCGGGGGCAGGGGAAGGGGTACAGTAAAGTGAGCAAAGGGGCAGCACACACCAGCCCCCTCCAGCCTACAATTTTTTTTTTCTTTTTGATACAGAGTCTTGGTCTGTCACCCCGGTTGGAGTGCAGTGGTTCAATAGCCACTCACTGCAACCTTCACCTCCCGGGTTCAAGTGATTCTCCTGCCTCAGCCTCCCAAATAGCTAGGACTACAGGCGTGCGCCACCACACCCAGCTAATTTTTTTGTGTTTTTAGTAGAGACAGGGTTTCACTATGTTGGCCAGGCTGGTCTCATACTCCTGACCGCAAGTGGTCCACCTGCCTCGGCCTCCCAAAGTGTTGGGATTACAGGCGTGAGCCACCACACCTGGCAGAGACTACCATTTTGTGGCAGGTAAGAATAATGAGAATCATCATCATCATCATAAAAAATAATATCTAACACTTACTGAACACCTAGCAAGAAAAGTAGCAAAATAGTAACAATAAAAATAACAATAAGTAACAATAAAATAATAAGCTGGTAACAGTAACTAACACTGTGAGGCACCATGTGTGCCAAGCAGGGTCCTCAGTGCTTTACATCATATTAACTCATTTGTCTCACCGCAGAGCCATGAGGCGGCTGCTGTTATTATCCTCATACTACAGATGAGGAAACGGAGGCCCAGAGAACCTTAGTGGTAGCTCCTGGTATCACTTATTACTAATGATGCTCACCGAGACATGCTCAAAGTCCTGGCCGAGCTCCGGTGAACCAGCCACCACCTCCTTCTCGGCGATCCAGTGCTCAAGCTCGCTCACCTGGCGGCTGAGCTGGTACAGCCAGTACTGCTGTTCCAGAGCCACCCGGCGCTCCTCACCCAGCTCCTTGAGCGCCACGTACAGGCGGTCCACCTGAGACTGCCGCCGGCTGATCTGCTCGCTGACAGGGGACATGGAGGGGCAGGGATGGACCCCTGAGACTGCTGGGGCAGAGCGTGACCCCCCAAACCCCCTCCCCAAGACAGGGCTGTGTTTCCTTGGAATCTTCAGACAAGGCTGCATCCCCAGGTAGAGCTCTGTTTTCTTTCTTTTCTTTTCTTTTTTCTTTTTTTGGAGACAGGGTCTTGCTCTGTTGCTTAGGCTGGAGTGCAGTGGTGTGATCACAACTGTTGGAAGCTTTTTTCTTTTTTTTTGAGACGGAGTATCACTCTTGTCACCTAGGCTGAATTGCAGCCTCCACCTCCCATGCTCAAGCTATCCTCCCATCGCAGCCTCCAAAGTGGGACCACAGGTGCGTGACTCTACACCTGGCTAACTTTTTGATTTTTTTGTAGAGATAAGGTCTCACTATGTTCCCTCTGTTCTCAAACTTCTAGGCTCAAACAATCCTCTTGCCTCAGCCTCCCAGTGTTGAGCCTACAGGCGTGAGCCACTATGCCTGGCCAGGACTGTGTTTTCTGCAAGTCTTGGGTTCAGACAGCCCTGCATTTCAGCATGCAGGGAAAGCTGTGCTTCCCTAGATGGATAAGCTCACCTCTATCCAGCCTCACCTAGTTTCTTTTTTCTTTTTCTTTTTTTTTTTTTTGATGGAATTTTGCTCTGTCGCCAGGCTGGAGTGTGGTGGCATGATCTCGGCTTACTGCAACCTCTGCCTCCCAGGTTCAAGCCATTCTCCTGCCTCAGCCTCCCCAGTAGCTGGGACTACAGGCACGCGCCACCATGCCAGGCTAATTTTTTATTTTTAGTAGAGACGGGGTTTCACCATGTTGGCCAAGTTGGTCTCCAACTCCTGATCTTAAGTGATCTGCCCACCTCAGCAGCCTCACCCAGTTTCTATCTCAGTCTCACACCTCCCTTATCCAGGAACCTGGGTGGGACTCTGGACTCCCAGGTTGGGTCCCCAGCCAATCACCCCACCTCTAGCCCCAATCTCTGAGCCCAGTTGCACAGAGGTCTCTCTCTGTACCTCCTTTCAGATTCCATCCCTGGTCCAGGCCTGGAGCTCAGCACCCGCCTACACCAGGCAACATCATCCCACTGCACACCAGGAGGTCTCCAGCCCCACCCCCATAGCCAATCTCAGCACAGGCTTTTCTGTCCTCCCAGACACTGGGTAGAAAGAGCCCCTTGCTTGTCCTGAGCAAATTCTTCTCTGCCCCAGTCCTAGACATCACCTCCTCTTTTCTCCCCCGACGAGGTGCCCACAACTACACTCATATCCAGGTGCTCCTGGCCCCACCCTCTCAACCATCTCTGGGCCGTGTCCCCCCATTCCAGCCAGCCCACTTGCCAAATCCGAGGGCTCCAGCACACAGCAAGGAGGACCTCTCCCACCCAACGTCCAATTCCAGCGCTGCGCTCCCAACAGTGAAGCTTCAGGTCCTGCTGGACCATTCCTGTGAACTGGCCACGCCCCCGTTCCATCCCCGCAAGCCCACCTGTCCGGGTGCCCCATCTCCAGCAGCGCCCGGCACTGGCGCGACAGCTGAGCGATGCTTTCCTCGTAGTTCTCCACGCCTTGCTCCAGCTGCAGGTGTTTCTTGAGCAGCTGCAGGGTGCTCTGTTCGTCCTAGGGGCACAAAGCGCCCACGATGAGGCGGCAGCGGCGGCCCCGGGCTCCAGCGCCCCCAGGCCCTCCGCACCCCCAGCTCGGGCGCACCTTGCCCTTATCCTCACTCATCATGAGCAGCTCCTGCTCGCCCAGCCACGCCTCCACCTCCGCCACGTCGAAGTAGTACTGCTCCACCTGGAAGGCGGCGTCCAGCGCCTGCTGCCGTCGCTCTGCAGCCTCCCGCAGTCCGGCCCAGGCACTCTGCAGCTGCTCCAGGCCCCGGCGCACAGCCTCTGCTTCCGGGCTGCGCAGCGACGACAGCATGCCCGCGCGCTCCAGCACCTCCTCCAGGCGCGGCCCGTGCGCCTGGATCTCCCGTCGCAGGCCCTGGGGGCGGGAGGTAGGGGGATGTGGGTGGAGAGGGGACGTTCCGAGGCCCTGCAAGACCACATGCTCCTCTGCTACTGGCACGGCCCACGAGGCAATTAACAAGCACCCCCACCTCGCTTACCACGTGCCAGGACCATGTAAACATTTGGCTGATACTCCCTCAATCATCATAATCCCATGCTGCAGGTGGGAACACAGGCACAGAGGGGCAAGGTAGGGAGCCCAAGAACAAGCAGCCAGTAAGGAGTGACAGGATTTGAACACAGGAGGCCGGTTCCAGAGACTGTGCTCTGAGCTAAGACGCTTGCTGACCCAAAATCGGTCCTAATATAAAAACCCTGCAGCTTAGCAGCCGAGGTATCATTTATATACGGTGAAGTGCACAAATCTTAGGTATACAGTTGCACACATATGTACAGATGCATACACTGGTGTGCCCAGATCAGCATGCGGAAAACTTCCATTCCCCAGAAGGTTCCCTCCACCAGCTCTGTACTTGCAGAGTACCTTATTTAACTTTTTGTGTGTCTTTTTTAACTTTTTGTGTGCCTTCACCTTATTTAACTTTTCATGTGCCTCAACTGGTAAACAAAGATAATAACAGCCAGCATGTCCTCTTCTTATTTTGCTTTTTTAGAGACAGGGTCTCACTCTATCACCCAGGCTGGAATGCAGAGGCACTACTGCAGCTCACTGCAGCCTTAAACTCCTGGGCTCAAGTGATCCTCCTGCCTCAGCCTCCCAAGTAGCTGAGACTACAGGTGTGCACCACCATGCCTGGCTATTTTTTAAAATATTTTTGAATAAATGAGGTCTTGCTATGTTACTCAGGCCAGTCTTGAACCCCTGGCCTCAAGCGATCCTCCCACCTTGGCCTCCCAAAGTGCTAGGCTTATAAGCATAAGCCACTGTGCCCGGCCAGCCAATGCTTCTTGAGTGCCTGCTACCCTGCTACCTGCCAGGTGCTTTGCTAAGTAAGAGCTTTAAATAACATAGCCTCACACCTCCTCACTCCCAACCTATGGGGCCAGACAACATTACCATCTCTGTTTTACAGATGAGAAGACTGAGGCAAAGAGAGGGTGAGGAATTTGCTAACGTCACACGGCTAGTATCAGGCTGAGATGATCTACCTTGTGGGGTTGTTGTAAGGTGATAAACTATGGAGCACTTAGAACTGAGTCTGCATGCAGCAAATGCATAATATTTGCAGCTATTTTTTGCTTAACAGCCCCTGTGTATCCAGCACTCTCACTGCACACACAGCTGAGCTCCCCCAATTTTAAGTACTAAGTGCATTTGATCAGTTTCCTCTACCATGACAACGACAGGCCAGTTCTGTTCCCAACACTGTTGACAGCAAAGAGTATTTTCGTCAAGACAGGAAAACAAAATCTCAGCAAAACTCCAGTCTCTTAAAGAACTCCACCTACTGCAGAATGATCAGGAACCTTCCAAAATAATCTGTGGACCCACCTCCCCACCATCCTTCAGTGTCCTATTCTTCCAACATACACTGTTTGGTGAAATGAGGATAATGACAATATCTACCTCATAGGGTTATTGAGAGGATTAAATTATCAGCATAAACCCTAACACAGTACTTAGCACATGGTAAATCTTTTTTTTTTTTTTTGAGATGGAGTCTTGCTCTTGACACTCAGGCTGGACTGCAATGGTGCGATCTCGGCTCACTGCAACCTCCGCCTCTCAGGTTCAAGCTATTCTCCTGCCCCAGCCTCCTGAGTAGCTGGGATTACAGGCACGTGCCACCATGCCCGGCTAATTTTTTGTGTTTTTAGTAGAGACGGGGTTTCACCGTGTTAGCCAGGATAATCTTGATATCCTCCTGACCTCGTGATCCACCCGCCCCGGCCTCCCAAAGTGTTGGGATTACAGGTGTGAGCCACCGCACCTGGCCTTAATTTTTTTTGTATTTTTAGTAGAGACGGGGTTTCACCACGTTGATCAGGCTGGTTTCGAACTCCTGACCTCAGGTGATCCACCTACCTCAGCCTCCCAAAGTGCTGGGATTACAGGCATCAGTCACTGCACCCGGCCAGCACATAGTAAATTTTTAATCGATGCTTTTTTTCCTTTTCTTTGAGACAGGGTCTCACTCTGTCACCCAGGCTGGAATGCAGTGGTGTGATCTCGGCTCACTGCAACCTCTGCCTCCTGGGTTCAAGTGATTCTCCTGACTCAGTCTCCCAAGTAGCTGGGATTACAGGAGCCTGCCACTATGCTCAGCTAATTTTTGTATTTCTGGTAGAGATAGGATTTCCCCATGTTGCCCAGGCTGGTCTCAAACTCCTGGGCTCAAATGATCCTCCCGCCTCTGCTTCCCAAGTGCTGGGATTACAGGCTTGAACCACCGTGTGCGGCACAATGCCTTATTATTATTATTATTATTCCTCTTTTATGTGTCTTGCTTTAGGCTTTGGTGAAATAGTTGCTTTGACCAAGGGGTTCCCCTGCTATGCAGTTTGAGAACCACTGCTCTAAACCAACTCTACTTATTTAGATGTGGAAACTGAGCCCCAGAGGAATGAACAGAGATTCAGAGATTTTTTAGGAGCTCAAAAGCCCCCTCCCCTCACCTTGCTCAGGTTAGGGGACAGTAGTACCCTCTTGCTGATTATCTCTGTCCTTTGTCCCTATGGGTGTTTTTTATTTGTTTTGGGGTGTGTGTTTATGTGTGTGTGTGTGTGTGTGTGAGACAGAGAGAGATAGGGTCTCATTCTGTTGCACAGGGTGGAGTGCAGCGGTGTGTTCAAGGCTAACCACAGCTTTGACCTCTGGACTCAAGGGACCCTCCCTCCTCAGCTTCCAGAGTAGCTGGGACTACAGGGGTACACCACCACACCAGGCTAACTTGATGGTTGTTTTACTTTTTCCTTGTCCAATAGCCATTCCTCTTCCTTCTAGTCTCAAGCCGCTGATTTTCCTTTGGGGAACCCCCCTTGCCTCCATCTCAGCCTTGGTAATTAAGCTAAGGCTGATTCTAGCAGCAGGTTCCAGGGGAGGGCACCTAGCCAGGCCAGCCCAAGGAGCAGTCCGAATCCCCATCCGTCATGATTAGTTCAGGGATGGGCATGGGACGGTGAGCCAATGAGAGTTATTCCTGGGACTACTGCTGACATTATTGAGAGGAAGAAATTCTCTTCAGTTTTGCTGGTGGGAGGTAAACCTGAATCTGTTGGAGGCCTTTTATCACCAGGAGAGGAGGATTGGCCTAAGAAGAAAGCTCATGCAGAAAAACAAACAGGCCAGGTGCAGTGGCTCACGCCTGTAATCCCAGCATTTTGGGACGCCGAGGTGAGTGGATCACTTGAGGCCAGGAGTTCGAGACCAGCCTGGCCAACATGGTGAGACCGCCCCCCCCCGCCATCTCTACTAAAAATACAAAAATTAGCCAGGTGTGGTGGTGCACACCTGTAATCCCAGCTACTTGGGCGGCTGAGGCAGGAGAATCGCTTGAACTCAGGAAGTGGAGGCTGCAGTGAGCGAAGATTGCGCCACTAAACTTCAGCCTGGGTGACAGAGCAAGGCTCCATCTCAAAACAAACAAGCGAACAAACAAAAAATTCAGCCTAGAGTCATGAAAATATATGGAAGCACCTGGATACGTCTGTATCTGCTGTCCACAGTCTTGTTAATTCCAAAAGCCAATGAAGTCATTGTTTTGGCTTTAACCACCTTCAGCTGTTTTCTATCACGTGTATCCAAATGTGTCCTAACTCACTCCCTCACCTGGCTCTGCTCACCTGGTTCTTTTTGATGTGCTGCTGGACCGCCTGCAAACCGTTGCCTCGCTCTGTCTGCATGGCCAGTGGCAGCCGCTCCTGAACCCATGCCTGGAGAGGACACAGAAAGCAGGTCAAGGGGAGAATGCATCCAAGAACTGCTGCATCGAAACTAAACTTTAAATCTGCATGGTATCCCAGGCCCTTCCTTGCCTAAGAGCCCAGTCAAATCTTCAGCCTCCTCCATTTTTTTTTTCTTTGAGGATCGAATCCCCAAGCTCAAATAATCCTTCCACCTCAGCCTCCCAAGTATCTGGGACTACAGGCGCCACCACACCTGTCTCAGTCTCCTCTGTTGACATACTCTGTCTTGCTCTCTGCACTTAAGCCAGGCTCACACCGTTGGCCTTTGCACATACAGGTCTTGTTTCCTATCATGTTCCTAACCACCCTGAATTGTCACTGTCTGGGGACAAGTCTGTTTTCCCCGTTGGACTTTGAGCCCTCTGCGGCACAATGGGGTCTGCCTTGGCCACCCCTGTGGCCCCAGTATCATCCAAACACCGGGCTGGGGCCAGAATGATCAACTGAGTGAGCAAATTAGTGAGCAAATCAGGAAGTTGAGTGATGGAATGAGGACATGAACAGAGGAGTGAATGAGTGAATGAATAATAAGAAATGAGTGGAGGCAAAAACAAACAATGGATGAGTGAATAAATAAATGAGTGACTTCATGAACAAATCAACGAATGATTCAAAGTGAGTCAATGAATGTGAATGAATGAATGAGTGAAGGGCTGAGTGCGTCTTTCAGCGTATGAGTGGGAGGGTCTCAGCCTTCTCCATCCTCGGCCCCGCCCCGTGCCCACCTTCTCCGCCCCCCGCCCCGCCCCAGGCCCCTGCGCTGGCCTCACCAGCTCATCGTCCAGGTCGTGCGCCACCTGGTGCAACTCCTTGGAGGCCAGTAGCAAGCGTCGGCGCTCCTGCAGCGGCTCGAGCAGGCGCACCAGGCGCTCGCCCACCGCGTTCTGCCGCTCGCCCACCAGCTCCTTGCTCGCCGGCTCCAGCGGCAGCGCCGCCGTCTGCGCCTGCAGCTCTCCCACCTCGCGGTACCACTCCTCCACCTGCGACTCCATGGACTGTGGGGACAGAGGCAGTATCAGTGGACCCCACGCGCCCTCCTGATCCTGCTGTGGCTCTCCAGTACCCTTATGGTGACAGCCAGACCCCTCACCGACCCACCCTTCCACCCTCTCCTTGCTCAGTCGCCTCCAGGAGCGATGCCCTCTGCATGAACCTGCATCACACTAAGCTAGTCCCTGCCTCGGAGCCTTTGCCTTTGCTGTTTCCTCTGCCAGGCATGCTCTTCCTTGTCAATCAGATTTTAGCTGGAGTATGACCTTCTCAAAGAGGCTTACCTGACCCAGGAACTAAAGTGGTCCATTAAATCACTAATTCTCAGAACAACCCTTCAAGGTTGGTAGTCTCCCTGTTTTACAGAGGAGGAAACTGAGGCCAAGAGAAGTTAAAGAATTTGTCCAAAGAGTCAACTTTCCAAAATTATTACTATCAAATATAGTAATAATTTTTTGTTAACGAATTCTTTTTTTCTTTTGAGATGGAGTCTCGCACTGTCGCCCAGACTGGAGTGCAATGGCACAATCTTGGCTCACTGCAACCTTCACTTCCTGGGTTCAAGCGATTCTCGCGCCTCAGCCTCCCGAGTAGCTGAGATTATAGGCACCTGCCATCATGCCCAGCTAATTTTTGTATTCTTGTGGAGATGGGGTTTCACCATATTGGCCAGGCTGGTCTTGAACTCCTGACCTCAGGTGATCCACCCACCTTGGCCTCTCAAAGTGCTTGGGATTACAGGC